GTATCTAATTTTGAAGGGTGCTAATGTAAGTGGTATTTTGTTTTTAATTTAAAATTCCACCGGTTCACTGCTGACATATAGGATAGCAAATGACCTTGTATCCTGCAACTTTGCTATAATGACTTTTTTTTTCTTTCTTTTTTTTGGCCACATGGCATGTGGGATCTTAGTTCCCTGACCGAGGATCAAACCCGTGCCCCCTGCAGTGGAAGCTCAGAGTCTTAACCACTGGACCACCAGGAAATTCCCCAAAATATTTCTTTTTAATCCGTTGAAATGATTGTATGGTTTTTCTTCTTAAATTGATTCCATTTATTGACTGTGTTAGGCACTTTTCTAGGAGCTCAGGGTACACTAATCAACAAAATATAAAAATTCCCACCTCCTTGGCCCCTTGAAGGGCAAGGAGGGGACGCTTCCTGTTTCTTCCCAGCTGAGGGACCATGGCCAGACCCTGGCAGACTACATGGCTCCTGCTGGCCATTCCGGTGACCTGGTACCTCATTTATGGAGCAAGAAAGAAAACCTTTATGAGTGTCCAGTAGTGTCTGCAACAGAAAGTAATGTGACAATCACAGTGTCTTTTGTGACCAACAAGTAGAACAGGGAAATGCCAAGTAGCTTCCATGTGGTTCATGTCCTTTTGCTCCAGAAGCAGCAGACTTCTGATCACATGGAGTCCCCCCTTTACACCGAGATGTGGGGACCACCTGTCAAAAGCTGGAGATACTAACTGTCTTTCAAGAAGGAGAGCTTCACAGCAAGTCTAGTGCTACTTTTCAGTGTTTTTTTACTTTGGTTTGGAAAGTACAAAATTCTGAACAAACATTGCAACAGTGACAGCTAGCACTCCTGGAGCCCTCCAGTGGTTACTGTGTTTGAGGGTGTCCTGTAATGAGCAGTAATTCCCAGTAGAGTTTATAAATGTTTGTTGACACATACAGAAATAAAAATGCCTGCTGTCCTACTTTGTAGAGACACAAAGTAGAATAGAGGTGACCCGGGCTGGGGTGGAGGGAACGGTCTGTCATCGCTCAGTAGGGACAGAGTTTCTGTTTGGAACGAAGAAAAAGTTCTGGAGGTGGATTGTGATGATGGTCACACAAGAATATGGAGGTACCTAGTACCCCTGAACTGTGCAGTTAAAAATGATTAAGATAGGGGACTTCCCTGGCGGTCTCAGCGCTTTCACTGCTGAGGGCCTGGGTTCAATCCCTGGTCGGGGAACTAAGATCCTGCAAGCCACATGGCACAGCCAAAAGAGAAACAAACAAACAGAAACATGGATCCCCTTGGTAAAAAAAAAAAAAAAAAGAAAGAAAGAAAACAGCAATGAGATGCCACTATACACCTGTGAGAACAGCCAAAATCCAGAACACTGAGGAACCCAAATGCCAGCAAACGCTGTTGAGGCTGTGCCGCTACAGGAACCTTCACCCGCGGCCCGTCGGGATGCAAACAGCACACCTGCTGTGCGAGACAGCCCGGCAGTTGTCTTGGTCTTTTCCTGCTGCTGCAACAGAATAAAGTAGACTTATAAACAACACAATTTTTTTTTCTCCCGGTTCTTGAGGCTGAAAGATCCAAGATCAAGGCACCAGCAGATATGGTGTTTGGGGGCGGCCCTTCCTGATTCAAAGCCAGAGGTCTTCTCACTGTGTCCTCACAAGGTAGACGGGGTCCCTTCTGTGGGGACAGTGATCCCCTTCGCGCGGGCCCCATCCTCGTGACCTAACGACCTTCCAAAGCCCCACCTTCTAACACAGAGCTAACTACATTTTTTTTTTTTTTTTTTTTGCGGTACGCGGGCCTCTCACTGCCGTGGCCTCTCCCGTTGCGGAGCACAGGCTCCGGACGCACAGGCTCAGCGGCCATGGCTTACGGGCCCAGCCGCTCTGCGGCATGTGGGATCTTCCTGGACCGGGGCACGAACCCGTGTCCCCTGCATCGGCAGGCGGACTCTCAACCACTGCGCCACCAGGGAAGCCCAGAGCTAACTACACTTTTATCATAGGACCCAACAAATGCTCTCCTTGGCATTTACCCAAATGAGTTGGAAACTTATGTCCACACAGAAACCTGAACAAAAACATTTATAGCGGCTTTATTCATAGCTGCTAAAGCTGAAAACTTGTCTTTCAGTAGATGAGTGGACAAACTGTGGTACATCCATACTGTGGAATGTTCTCAGTGCTGAAAAGAAATGAGCTATGAAACCATGAAAAGACATGGAGAAAACCTAAGTGCATATTGCTAAGTGAGAGAAGCTGATCTGAAAAACCACACGCAGTGTGATTCCAACCATGTGACCTCCTGGAAAAGACAAAACTATGGAGACAGTGAAAAGATCAGTGGCTGCCAGGTGGAGCACAGAGGACTTTTAGGGCAGTGCAACTCTTCTGCTTTATTCTAATGGTGGATACGTGTCATACAGGCACCAAAACCCACAGAACGTGCAACACCAGGAATGACCCCGAGTGTACACTGTAGACTCTGGGGATGAGGACGTCTTAGTGTAGATTTACTTGTTGTAATAAAGGTCCCGCTTTGTTTCATGGTGTCCATAGTGCAGAAGGCCTGTGGGCTCAGGGAGCACATGGGAAATGTCTGTATTTTCTGCTCAGTTGTGCTGTGAACCTAAAACTGCTCTGAGAAATAAAGTCTATCAACAAACACACACACGGTGGTTCCTCAAAAGCTAAACAGAGAATTACCTTGTGGCCCAGTCATTGGCCTCCCAGGTATGTATCCAGAAGAATTGAAAACAGGGATTTAAAGAGATAGTTGGACACTAAGTTACAATATTATTCACAGAAGGCAGAAACAACCCTAAGGTCCATGAGTAGTCGATGGATAGACAAAATGTGGTCCATCCACACGATGGAATATTTTTCAGCCACAAAAGGGAAGGCAGTTCTGTACATGTTACAACACGAACCTTGAAAATGTGCTCAGTGAAACAAGCCAGACACAAAAGGACAAGTATTTCACGAGTCCAGTCACATGGACCACCTAGAATAGTCACGTTCGTCGAGACAGAAAGGAAAATCGTGGTTACCAGGGACGAGGGAAGAACAAAACTGAGAGTTATTGCTAAGTGGGTGTTGGGTTTCTGTTTGGGATGATGAAGAATTTGGAAAGGGATGGTGGTGATGACTGCACAACATTGTGAATGTAATTAATGCCACTGCACTGTACACTTGACATGATGAAAGTGGCAAATCTTAAGTTAAATATATTTTACCACAAATTTTTTAAAAGGGCAAAAGCACCACCTATTTCTCAAATTAGGGAAGATAAAATTCCCACACAAATAATACTGAGCATCTGTCAAAATTTTACTTGAATCATTAATGTGGATTTATATGAACAGTGATAAAAGGGATGCTGTCATGTGACTGCTAGATTGTATGTAAAATCAGTGCAAAATAAAACCAGAACCTTCGGGGTTATAGTCTTTACTAGTCAGGAAAAATTTATCACATTGTGTTATCCAGCTCAGGCTGCTGAAACCGAAGACCACAGTCTGGGTGGCTAACACAACAGACATTTATTCGTTCACAGTTTTGGAAGCTGGAAGCCAGAGACCAGGGTACCATCAGGATGGGTGCATGGTGAAGTCTGTCCTCCTGGCTTGCAGTGGCCGCCTTCTCACCGTGTCCACACCAGGCCTCCTTGCTCTCCTGCCCCTTCCTGCTCTCGTGAGGCCATCAGGCCTACCGGGCCGAGGCCCTGCCCAGTGACCTCACCTCACCTTCATTCCCTCCTTAGAGGCCCCACCTCCAAACAGTCACACAGGGGGTCAGGACTTCAACAGAACTTGGTGGGGGACACAATTCAGTCCATGGCACACATCTTACTAGTTTTTTACAAGTTCTCCTTTTTTTTGGGGGGGGGGGGGCGAACATGCTACGTGGCTTGCGGGATCTCAATTCCCCGACCAGGGATTGAACCCAGGCCCTCGGCAGTGAAAGCCTGGAGTCCTAATCCCTGGACCACCAGGGAATTCCCAGGTTAATTTTTTTGGGGCTGCTTTGGGTCTTCATTGCTGCACCTGGGCTTTCTCTATTTGCGGCGAGTGGGGGCTGCTCTTCCTTACGGTGCACGGGCTTCTCACTGCGGTGGCTTCCCTTGTTGCGCAGCTCAGGCGCTAGGTGCGCGGGCTTCAGTGGTTGTGGCACGTGGCCCCTCATCATCTGTAAACAGCAATTTGTTATATTGCCGGAAGTAGAAGACACTAAGGCTAGCTCGTTAGAAAGTGCTAGAGCCAGATATTGTTATGTAATCACCTTTTTTTGTTTCCAAATTTTGGAAGATTTTCCTAAACAAAATAGATTATGGACATCTCTCCAGGTTAATTGATAAAGCTCTAATTCATTTTGATAGCTGAACGACTAATCCACAGTGCAAATGTTCTACAAATAATCTATTCCCCAATTATGGACTGACAGGGTTTTCTTCCAACTTTTTAGCACTGCAGGTGATGTGCTTTTATATCTTTGTGTATATATTTCTTGATATTGAAGCTCCAATTCCTATAAGATGGGTCCCAAGCAGGAATATCTAAACCAAGGGAAATAGATATTCTCATTTAAATGCTATGGCCACATCTCTTCATGAAGTTTGACAGTTTTAGGTGTGGTCCTGTACATATTTCTAACCTCGTTACGTCAAAACAACCCTAACAAGGGAGTTCCCTGGCGGTCCAGTGGTTAAGTCTCTGCGCTTCCACCGCCGGGGGCACAGGTTTAATCCCTTGTCGGGGAACTAAGATTCCACATGCCAAATGGCGTGACCTAAAACAAACAAAACCCTAACGAGATTAAAAATGCTGATATCCTGTTGACAGCTGTTGACATCCCATGAAAAGATGACAAGTATATTTCATGCCATGAACTTAATAACAAAGACTGCTCAAGCTCTGAAAATATAACCATATCTCTTTTGGTTTAGAGAAAATGTTAGTATTTTTCTGTTTTTTTTTTTTTTTTTAAAAAAAGCTCACACAGAACAACTAGGATGAAGAAAACAAAAATCCTCAGATGATATCTACAACCAAATTAGATGGTACAGCAACCCCAAGATCTCCAAAACACGAGCAGACAGCAGCGAGCCACCTAACGCTGCAAGAGGCAAATGGTATCAGCATGTGTGCCAGAGGGAGCAAGAGGAAGAAACAGCCCCAGAGAAAAGCAAAATCCCCAAAGACCAGTCGGTATTCCCAGGAAGGCCTGTGAGCCAACTTGAGAGCAGAATCTGAAACACCAGCGTTTTGTACCACGTGTTGTCAGTAAGATACAAAGGTGCTGAAAGAGACTGCCCCGCCAAACTCTCAAAACTAACCAGCCTAGTCTCTCTTCCTAGGAGTGTTAAAGATTTAAGCAGCTCAGGATCTAAGGAGGAAAATGAAAAAGAGAGTCCAGATAAAACAGGGTGGATTGCGAGGCAGTCCTTTTAGTCTCAGGTCAGCGGCCTTTTATTATTTAACTTTTCATAGAGGCAACAGAAGATGGCGCCATAGAGCTGTAAAGTCAGGAAAACAAATTACACCTCCCACCTTAAAGTTTGGGAAACTATTATAATGTAAGAATAAATAACTGAAACAGATCCATGCTGAATCTTACATAAGATTAATATTTTTTAAAAATAGAGAGTAAGAAACCAGATAAGTTCCCTAAAGAAAATAAAAGGAAGACATGCTTACAAAACAGACAGAAACAATGGCCTAGTGTTTCAAAACTAGTTAAAAGACATTAAAAATTATAAAGAATTGAAAAAACAATGTAAATAAGAACCAGAGAAAATCAGGGATGAAGTAACATAATTCAGAAAAGAAACATTTCAGGACCTTCTCTCGTGGTGCAGTGGTTAAGAATCTGCCTGCCAATGCAGGGGATACAGGTTTGAGCCCTGGTCCGGGAAGATCCCACATGCCATGGAGCAGCTATATATATATATATATATATATATAAAATTCAAGAAAATTTTGTACCAAAATTTAAAAATTGAAAGGACAACACTCTGCATCTGGGAAAACCGACCCTGAATGACATACATGGAAACATATTTTTTAAATTGTTAGACTTTTTAAAAAAGAAATGAAAAAGGAAATAGTCTCTGGGTTCTAAAGTACAAGTAATGAAAGAAAACTGATTGTCACCAGACATTCTGGTTTTTTTTTTTTTATTATTCATTTATTTATTTTTGGCTGCATTGGGTCTTCGTTGCTGTGCGCGGGCTTTCTCTAGTTGCGGCGAGTGGGGGCTACTCTTCGTAGCGGTGCACGGGCTTCTCATTGTGGTGGCTTCTCTTGTTGCAGAGCACGGTCTCCAGGCACGCGAGCTTCAGTAGTTGTGGCATGTGGGCTCAGTAGCTGTGGCTCGCAGGCTCTAGATCTCAGGCTCAGTAGTTGTGGTGCACGGGCTTAGTTGCTCCGTGGCATGTGGGATCTTCCCGGACTAGGGCTTGAACCCGTGTCCCCTGCATTGGCAGGCAGATTCTTATCCACTGCGCACCAGGGAAACCCCAAACATGTTTTTGAAAACTACTGTCAGTAATTATGTTGGTGTTAGTGTTGTTATTGTTATTCTAAGTCTGTTTTATGCATATTATGGGCTACAGCATAAGAGGAGTTTCTAATTATATCACTCCTAATGTCCTTGAGAATGAATATTTTCAGTGTGAAAAAAGAAGGCACAGATCCACAATAGAATAGGTTAAGTGAACACCTTTAGTCCTAAATTTGAATTGACAGTATTGGTATGAACTCAAGAAGTGTTTCCTCTTTGCAGGGGAGGGAGTATAGATGGAGACAGATTTCCCAGCTTTGTCTATTGAAGCGCAAGGACTGGATGACTGATTCCAGGTCTTGGGTGGGAAATGTACACCGTGAGCCTGGAGTGTCTTGTCACCTGAGGTAGTGAGGACCATAGTCGTGTTATGTTTAAAGTACTTGAAAGCTAAATTGAAGAGGCTCCCACTTGACAAAGATAAGGCAATCTGAGCAGTAAATAAAATAATTTCCATAGACTGAAACACATCAGATATGTTTAAAACCATGAGCCCTTTATGATATTTCTTGTAAAAAAAATTGGTCACCTTTGATAGATATGAGGGCCTATTAGTTGTTGAATTGTAAGAGTTCGTCATATTTTCTGGATACTAGACCTTATTAGATATATGATTTGCAAATATTTTCTTGCATTCTATAGGTTGTCTTTTCACTTTCTTGACAATTGCCTTTGATACACAAGTTTTTAAAATTTTGTGTGTGTGTGTGGTACGCGGGCCTCTCACTGCTGTGGCCTCTCCCTTTGCAGAGCACAGTCTCCGGACGCGCAGGCTCAGCGGCCATGGCTCATGGGCCCAGCTGCTCCGCGGCATGTGGGATCTTCCCGGACCGGGGCACGAACCTGTGTCCCCTGCATTGGCAGGCGGACTCTCAACCACTGCGCCACCAGGGAAGCCCAAGTTTTTTTAAATTTTGATGACGTTCAAGTTATTTAATCTTTCATTGCTCAGGTTTTGGTCATGAAGATCTACCAAGGTCATGAAGATTTACCCTACGTTTTCTACTGAAAGTTTTATAGTTTTAGCTCTTTTATTTAGGTCATTAATCCATTTTGAGTTAATGTGTTTTTTGAGTTAATTTTTGTATATAAACCACTTGTAAAAATGTACACATTTCATTGTTTCCCATATAGACATCCAGTAGTCCAAGAATCACTTGTTGAAGAAACTATTCTTTTCCCAAATTGCCAGAGAAATTAGCAAGAAAAAGCAAAAAACAAGGCATGGATGTACCTTGAGGACATTATGCTAGGTGAAGTAAGCCAGTTACAAAAAGTCAAATACTGTATAATTCCACTTATATGTCAAAAATCATAAAGAGAAAGTAAATGGTGGTTACCAGGAGCTGGGGGAGGGGAGAATGGACAGATGGTATTTAATGGGGGGCAGAGTTTTAGTTTTACAAGGTGAAATACGGGGCTGGATGGTGGTGGTTTCATAACAATATAAATGTACTTAATACCATTGAACTGTACACTTAAAAATGGTAAATTATGGGAATTCCCTGGCTGTCAAGTGGTTAGGACTCCACACTTTCACTGCTGAGGGCGAGGCCAAAAAAATAAAAAGCTAAATTTTATGTCATGTGTATTTTACCACATAAAAAATTTTTTTAAGAAAGTTGTTTTTTTTGCGGTACGTGTGCCTCCCGCTGTTGTGGCCTCTCCCGTTGCGGAGCACAGGCTCCGGACGCGCAGGCTCAGCGGCCATGGCTCACGGGCCCAGCCGCTCCACGGCACGTGGGACCTTCCCGGACCGGGGCACGAACCCGTGTCCCCTGCATTAGCAGGCGGACTCCCAACCACTGCGCCACCAGGGAAGCCCCTTAAGAAAGTTTTTATGTGTCTGTTAAGAGATCCAAAAGGAAAAATTAGGGATAGGAAGGGTGAGGCAATATTTTTTTAAATAGTTGAGAATTTTCCAGTATTAAAGAAAGATATGAATTTCCAGAATGAAAAAGCATACTTAGTTCTGCACAAGATAATTAAAAGAAGTCCTCACAGCAAAAATCATAGTAAAGTGACAGAATATCTAAGACACAAAAATTTCCAAAAGAGAAATTAAAGTGTTTATACAAAAAAGTCAAATTATAATAATTATAAACTTCTCATTAGGTACAATACATATCTGAATATGATGCAATAGTATTTTTAATGTGCTGAGGAAAGATAATGGTCGACTTAGACCTCTATATCTACTTAAATGACGCCTCAAGAGTGAGAGCAGGGGCTTCCCTGGTGGCGCAGTGGTTGAGAATCTGCCTGCCAATGCAGGGGACACGGGTTCGAGCCCTAGTCTGGGAAGATCTCACATGCCGCGGAGCACCTAGGCCCGTGAGCCACAACTACTGAGCCTGCGCGTCTGGAGCCTGTTCTCCACAACAAGAGAGGCCGCGATAGTGAGAGGTCCGCGCACTGCGATGAAGAATGGCCCCCGCTCGCCGCAACTAGAGAAAGCCCTCGCACAGAAACGAAGACCCAACACAGCCAAAAATAAATAAATAAATAAATGTTTTTAAAAAATTAAAAAAAAAAGAGTGAGAGCAAACACACACTTCCCATGACAGAGGCTGTGCGGTTTCCCCATTGCCCCTCACTGAAAGAACGAATACATGCGATATTTCAACAAGCAGGAATATTAAACAAGAACCAAAAAGTGGCATTCAGGAAGCATGGTAGAGAAAGAACATGTGCATAAAAGAAAAAAAAAAGGAGAAGAAAAAAGAAAGAAAGCATATGTGTATATATGCTGGAAAATATAAATAATCATGCACTGCATGAATTAAAAGTGTGATAAGAATCATGTCTAATTGGAGGAGAGTTAAATTAAGGCAACCCCTGTGGCAAGAGGTGTAGGCCATGGCCTGGCGGTCAGCCTCCGTGGCTGAGGAGGCCACCAGGCAGCGGTGACAGCAGTGACAGCGGGCGGGCCAGGATGACGTCACCCAGGTTGGTTAGGACTGATGGCCTCTCATCTCCAAATTTACCCTTTTGCCTCCCAGGTGAAATCGGTTGGGGTCCTTTGGTGTTTTTTCTCCTCCAGCCGGCACGACGCCGAGGCGGTCGGCAGGGGGCGCGGGAGAGCGCACTGCAGGAAGGAAAGAACTCGCACCGGCTGGATGTTTGACCTCCAGGCCCCGCGCTGTACGCGAGGCCGCCTGCAGCCCGGGGGTGAGTAGATTTCCAGAAAGTTCTGCTGGTGCCGCCCTAACGAGCATTCTCCGACACTCTGAGAGTTATGGTCACACCACACCCTACAGACCCTGCTGGTGAGGGGTCTTCCTGGGGGCTCTGCTTAGCCTTGAAGGTGGCAGCCGCTCCTCACGCTGTCACTCTGGTCTCGTCCCTCCTCGCCAGCCAGTTGCTGTCACCCCGCCTCCTGTTCTAGGAGTGAGTCACACCTCGAGGGCCAGGAGCTCTTCAGACCGTCCTCACTTCCCGTGCTTCCCAGACCCCCTCAGGTGTTGTGGCTCGTGACTGACTCACAGGAAGTTATTATAGTCACGGTGTGTTACAGAGAAAGGAGACAGGTGAAATCCACCCAGGGCGAAGTACGGGGGTCCAAAGGCAGATCTCCGGTTGTTCTCCCCATGTGGGAACATGGGGGCATTGCCTCCCCGCCCCCGGGTGTGATAGCCAACCAGGCATCTCACCACACTCCTGGTGTCTGTTTTTATTAGCCATCAATCACACTCTGCCCCTGTGGGCAGAATTAACTTCTAGTCTCCAGCCCTTTCTGGTGGCTGGGCTGATCCTCTGTCTCCACTTCCTCCTGAGCTTGGAACGGATGTGGCACAGCCAAAGCCCCCGTCCTAAATCACACTCTCAGACTGTCTGGTGGCCAAAGCTCCAGGCAGACAAAGACTCCCCTTACTTCGTAGACCAAGAGATCAACTCCCAAGAGCTGAGGGTAAAGGCCAGACCTCCGTTCACTACACACCTGTTACAGTTTATAAATTTTTATAATACTTTATTAGTTGGAATATTTATAGAGAGAATCTTTGTATTAGTAATTTCCTAATTCTGAGATAGTTTCTACAGAAAAAAAATCAATTATTTCTCTTTAGTTACCAGTTTTCAAGATGATGAATTATTTTACAATTATCCTTCTAAGGGATTATTTTATTAGGATGTGATTAACTCAGGGATTAAAACATACATGATGGTTTTAATCCTCTGTAGTTATCATTTATTGATGGTCATAATGTGTCACCCTGGTCATTTCAGCTTTGCTCCTAAGCCCTTTTGCTATGATCTGAGTCAACCTTCATGTTTCCTTGCTCTCTGTTATGACAAGATGTTCCAGGATCATCTGATACATTTCCTGCCCCAC